CAGCAGTGCTGCCAGAGCAAGGAGATAAAGCAAATAAGATTTAACAAGCAACGCAATCTTTTTAGCTCCATTATTAACGTGATAGGTGCTTATTTCTCCTCCCCATTGAAAAAGCGTCTGTATGACTAACCGAGATCCCTGGCCCTGGTTTCAATTACGCAGAGATTGAACCAAAACAGACTGCTGTGCCGTAAATACGAGGGGGGCCCTCTCTGTAAATCGTAAAATTGAATTCTAAAATTTCATGTTAAGAGCCTTGTCTTTGCATAATGGATCGCACTGCCATCTATCACGGTGACACTTACAAGTCACAGCTGAAAAAGTACTTTATTAGATTTTTTTCTTTTTTTTTAACAATTTTGATTTATTCTGGTTACGCTGTCTGTATAATAGACTGAGCAGAATCTCACGCCGATCCCTACGCTCAATAAAGCATCTACAGATATATTACAGAAATCCCTCACTGTTTCTAAGTTACAGCCAAATGGTGTCTCGGGGACTGCTCCCAATCATCCATGTCTTTTAAACCCGAGTCAAGCATCGGGGCTCTTAACGACCTTCGTCTCATCGGCTCTCGCCTGGTGTTGTTTAGAGTTGTTGGCCCATTTTCATCGTGGCTCTGATCAATAGCTGTGATGACAAAGATATGATGAGCTGCGTGATTCCCTCCGGTCACCGCTGCTTAATGATTTTTCCAAGCTCCAATCTTCAGTTGAAAGGGAAAAAAAAAATAAAATAAAATAAAGAGCTCGGAGGAAACAAACGTTGTGGCATTTCTCGCCATACCAAATTAGTCTTGCTCCTCTTCGCTTGGACTGAGCACGCAGGATGTTTCTCAGCTGCAGAGCCCTCATGGCACTGGCTCATGTCTGGATACCACAGCAAATTGGTCCCATCGCTGTTGTTCCTTCAAATGGAGCATGTTTCGGTACCAGCACCAGCTAATGAGGGCTTGAGCTGTTGCTCCTTACCCACCGCTCACACCGGGAGCTGCAGCCCCTGCTCCAGACTGCTGGACTTTCTCCTCCGAGCTGTGAGCCTTGGCCACGATCCTTCTCACTGCCCTTCGGACTGGAGACAAGCCCAGAAGTTCAAAGTCATTTAAGCTACGCCTTTGCATTTTGAAGGGAAACTCCTTTTGGTGGAGGAGTGAGACCTCTTTTTAGGAGTCAAGAAAACAGTGACTTCTCAAAGTCAAGCCATAAAAGCACATGAGGCCACAGCGACATTTTCCCTTGGTGATGGTCTGGCATGCAGCTGGCCTTTGAAAGAGCATCTAGCGCAATGGCATAGGGGGGTTAGTGCCATGGGATTTCCACCCAGGACCTCCAAGCGCCAGAGAAGCGAGGATCTGCTACCCTCCTGCCCACGAGCAAAGCAAGAAGGGTTGGGCAGCCACAGCATGGCCCCATGGGGAGGCAAATGGGGCAAGGCAAGGGCTGGGAAGGGGCTACGGGGCCGTGAGTCGAGTGGAAATGCTTGTGGATAACGGAGTGAAGTCCCTTGAGAGGGCAAGGCTCCGCGCTCTTTGCGTTCACAGCCCATTAGAATCATAGAATCATAGAATCATTAAGGTTGGAAAAGACCTCCAAGATCATCAAGTCCAACCGTCAACCCAACACCACCCTGCCCACTAAACCATGTCCCTAAGCGCCTCATCTACATGTCTTTTAAATACTTCCAGGGAAGGTGACTTTCCACAGGAATGCATTTGGATCCTGTAGAAACAGCCTTTTTCACTAACAAAGGGTGAAATTTAGGCCTTTGGGACTGAAAATGTTTGTTTCTAGCTTTGCCATCTAGGTAAAGTGGAAAGGATGAAGGTTTCACAGAGGCTGAGGATTCAGGAACGCAGTAGCTGTCTTTGGACAGGTTTGTCCCCAACACCAGACAGCCCTCCCTTTTAATTTTTTTGGTTAAAGGCTTTGATAAAGAGAAGAGCAACACATACATATATATACTTTTACACATAGAATTTTTTTTCCCTTTTTTGACATAATGTCCGTAGTTCCCACGCAAGGGTGCAGGTCCAGGAGAAGACCCCCGCGGACCCAGCGGGCAGCCGGGCACAGTTGCATCCTACCGCTGCTTGAGGATGCTGAGAAATGCAACCCATGGCGCAGAACGGGATGGGTCCTGGGTCTAGGCATGCTGTACGTGTGCGGCGGGACCGTAAGACTCTTGAAAAACGGGTGAGCTCCTCAAAGTCATTAGCTCGTGTAATAACCTGAAGAGTCTGTGTAAGGCTGTTGAGGTGCCATCTCAGGCTGGCAGGGTTCCAGTAGGAATATTTCACACTCGAATTCCTCTCCTTGGCTGCACAGAAAGGTGGCCCATTTACTCTTGTACCACTCCTCTTAGCATTGTAACACATGGACAGGGATGGATATAGAAGCACCACTTCTCTTCGGAGCCACTCAGACGGGAGCAGTGTAAATGGGATGCACATTGAGCTCTCTCTGCACCGCAGGTCTTCACCGGGGTTATGCCTTTCGACCCAGCGTTCCAGAGCTCTGTTTTGCTCCGTGCATGCCCGTTTTAGACACTGAAAGCCATCGCAAGGTTGAGGTTCTGGGAGAGATTTGTCCTTGGTGTGACTTGGGGAGGGGGAAGCAGGGAGCTGGGTAGTGGGTAGCTGGGAAGAGGGTGCTGCCTGGTTTGAGTAGGTGGCAACTGCTGGTTTGGCTTATGCTGCCCTTAATCCCCACCAGTGCATCCTCAGGGCAACCGAGGCTTGCCAAGAGTTTGATAACAGCAATGCAGGCGGTAATGCCATGGCCTTTTAACCATCCCTGGCAGGCAGCTGCCCGAAGCAACTGCTTCCTTGCCAAAGCCTAGAGATGGCCGGGCCAATGCATCTCCTTCCAGCTGGCTCTGCCGGAGCCGGATACCCTTTCTAGCCCAGCTGCCTGCGATTCACTCCTGCCAAAGTAATAAAGGTTGAGAGCTGCAAGGGACGGTTCACAGTACAGCACCAGCATCGTCACCCTTGCTGCAAGCAGGAGGGACCACCAGAAGAAAATCAGGACCATACCGGTGGGTGGCCCCAACGTGGGTCAGCCCTGGAGCTCTACAGCCGCCAAAACTCTGGCCACGCAGCCGAAGGCATTAGGGATTGGGAATTGGAGGAGGAACAGTCTGTTGGGGGAATTTCCATCCCATCACCTTCCTCTTGGCAAGCACTCAGGAACAGACAGGCAAGGCAGACGGAGCTGGCAGCCGGCATCTACGGGGAAACCGCAATAGCACTGGGGCTGCCAACGTTTCGCTGCTCGAGGAGTGCGTGCCCAACACCCTCCCCCCGCTTTATCTTGGGCTGGAGCCTGCAGAGAAGTATCAGGCTGTGTTGGACGATGTCAGTGGTGGTGGCACGAGTGCAGAAGAGCTGGCTCTGGGGACACGGGTGCGTTGTAGGGCTCCGAGTAAGGAAACAGCCTTGACATGGATTTGCACGTCTCGGGTTATCTCTCTACAGAACCGGGAAGCAATAACGAAAGTCGATGGAATTAAAAAAAAAAAAAAATCAGGACTGAGATGTTCTGAGAGAGACACGGTGAGAGCTCTTAGAGTCAGGATACGTGCAGGTGTCAGTGTGACAGAGACGGCTATTTGGGACCGGGGTTGACCATCCCCAGCCGGAGCTCCAGCGAGAGGTGGGGTGACACCTCTGCCTGCAGGAATGGCCGCTCCTACCACAGGACTGTTTCAGGCAGGGAAGAGGATGCTAAGCTCATCTCCTCGTTCCCTTGAATTTCAAGGACTCTTGCAAATACCAGAGCATAGAGGTTATATGAATACAAATTACATTAGCATGCCGAGTAACTTTGTCAGCAGTTTCTTATTAAAGCACTTGGTCCTCTCCGTAGTGGGCATTTCCATTCAACCTCCCCCTTCTTCACTGCTAACAGTCAACTGGGCTCTCCGTTTAATTCGAGCTCGTGTAAGAAACAGTGAAAGGGTTGATTCTAATATTCCCCTTCTTGTCCCACCACGCACAAGCTGTTGCTACTTATTAAACATTTTAAAATCCCTGCTGCCAAAGTCCCCGGGAGACATTTATCTGCCATAGTCATAAACGACTTGCCAGCATGCTACTCAAAACTGCATTTCCCAGCCAATAAATACAAGCTCCAGAACCAGGAAAAACAGGGTTTGGCTTGCTCTAATTTTCAGTGGTATGTCACTGGGATACTATAACTACTTTTAAATTCAAATCAGCTTCCTAAAAAAATGAACTGGTTTTATCAGATACAGCACAGTGGACTGTTAAACACGTAGCCTCGTGTACTGAAACACTATACATTTAATGAAGTTATGCCATTAGCAAATGTACAACATGGGTGCATTAAATCCACCTATAGAACAGCTCTACATATGAGAGAGAGGATTTATTTTAGCTTTTCTCAATAGAGCAGGAGTCCCTTTCTTGGCTTTTGCTAGGTTTTTTTAACTAAAACCAGGATTTGCGCACACACAAAAAAACCCAAAAAGTATCTACTCTCATAATGAAAAAAGACTGATTTTTTTTCTTTTTTTATTCCAGTTCAGGAAGGAAGAGAATCATCTTGCAAGTTAATATAATCAGCTCCTTTGCCTCTATAATCTACTTCTGCTCAGCAGGAGCTCCCAAAAAAACACTTTTTGTCCCAAGTGAAACGTGAAAACTACTTGTAAGGTCTCTTTTGAGGCACATGATTTGGACGGTTGCTTTCGGAGTATCGGAATCAGCATTGTCTTCCATCTCCTTTCTTGTCGGGAAGACCTCTCCGGCACGCCGCGGGCTCCCCGTGTTTCGGGTGCAAGGCTATCTGTCCCTGCCCCAAATCAGAAAGGGTTAGGACGACACAAGTTAGCACAGACACCCATTTCGCACTTCACACCTAAGGACGTACGTTGACGACTCCCCACTTCAAATTCCTCACAAAGGGGGGAAAAAAAAAAAGAGGACAAGAGACAGTAAATTTCACTGTGATCACACTACGGCAAAATATACCTTCTGTTCATTGCAAAAAACGTGTGAAGGCCAAATTAAAGAGGAAAAAAAACAAGTATGTTGCATGAGTTACAGTGCAACCGTATTATTCCTTCTCTTTCTATTTTCCTCCCCCCCTGCCTTGTTCAGTTTAGAAAAAGGATTGAGTACAACACAGTCAGGTAAGTGGCCACAAAAGAGTAGCTGTCTTTGGCAAGAAGTCACCGCATCGACCCTCTCTGTCACCTTCTGCCCATTTCGCTCTGTCTCATGAAGTGGATGTTGTTGGCGCTGTCTGAGAGTTCGGGGTACTGCTCCACTGAGATCACAAAATAGCCGTCGTAGCCCTGTACCCGGCCCGTGTTTAGCACTTGTTGCTTCTCCCCTTCTGTCCACGAGCGAATACCCTCCTCCCCATCCCGCAGTCTCTGCTGTTCCCGGGACCAAGCTTGGGCAACGGCGCGCTGTCGGGCCAGCTCCAGGACGCGGGCCTTCTCCTCGTCCAAGGTGGTCCCGTAGCGAGTGTTTAGGCACAGCGCACCGTACTGGAGCTGGATGTCCGTGTAACGTCTAGTCCTTCCACTTAGCACTGTGTTGATCTGGGACACCGTCACATTCACGCCGTTTTCCAGGGTCCTCCGCCCGCCGCTGAGGCCCAAGATGGACAGGTCGCCCTCCGATGGCCCTTGCTTAATGAAATAATGCGTGTCCACTCCATCGATGGTGAAGTGCAAGTTCTCCAGGTAATGGGCGTTGTTCAGGATGGCTGCGATCCTCCGCCCATCCTCATTGGCCACACTGATAATGTCGGTGGCCACGCGCCCGTCCTTCATGGCGAATTTGACGCCTTTGCCGAAGATAGAGCCTCCGGAGGCAAAGTTCTTGTTCTTCTTGACCTGCCGGCACCCGGCGATGCTGGAGCTGTAGATCTGTTCGAAGCGCTCGAGAGTGACAAAGGCCTTCAGCTGCTTCTGCACTTCACATTGGACCCCCAAAATTGACTGAGCAGGGAGAGAAAGAAGAGAAAGACGTGTTAGAAGGAGAAGCGTGATGACCCAAAGGCATTATTAACATGCTGGAGACCAGCAGAACATCCTGGAAACATCTAATGAAGAGGTCCATGTTTTTTTTCCCCCTATCATCTTTTTTCAGATTTTTAATTCTTTTTAATGAGAGAGATATGTTGGCAGGTTATTCCCCCTGCTGTCATTTTTTCAATAAACTGAACTGTATTTAATCTCACAGACTGAAGGATGTAGAGGTAGAAAAGGATTTTTTGCCTCAGTGGTGTGAGGGTCTAGTTTGGACATGCAATTATTTTGTGCTTCAGTGTTCTTCACCTGCACATAAGAAATCATTTATCTTGTGGCTGTAATGCTTTATAAAATGCTTTCAGATTTTCTGTGAAAAAGCGTGGAAGTATTTGTAAAAGTTCCCTCTATTTTAACTTCCCTTTGTAACTCCTTGTGCCACTTTCAAAAGCTCTGCATCACAGGTATGACCCTCAAAGTGGCCATAACCCCTCAATATCCCATTTCAACCTGGCCAAAGCAGATTGTTCAAAACTCAAGGAACGCCCTAAATCCAGCTCCTATTTCCTGCAAACCCTCTACAATGCTCCAGGCTGCCTGAGCTAAGGCCAGCCACCCCTGATGCTCGAGTTTTGGCTTATACTGAAGCAAAATTGCTGAGAGACAACAGCCTGGATCATTTGCAGTCAGGTACAATACAAAGTCACTTTTGCTGTTAGCATATAATGGAGCAAGCACACAGCGAGTCAGCAGCTCATCATTACTGCAAAATGTCTTTGGAAATGCTCTCATCAATTCATGGCAGCGCAGGCTTCTTACAGACCTCTGCTCACGAACAATTATTTGCTCAAATTTCACAAAAGCAAGAGGATGCTACGACAAAACTCTCCTGGCACTGCCAACGGCTCAGTTCAATAATGTAATGACATCCAGGATTAAAAATAGGCTACAAAGAAAAGTTTGCTGCACTCCAATTATTTCGAGGAAATTTAACATCCATGAAGGATATTGCCTTAAACCGTCCACAAGCTAAAGGCTCACATCCTTTCCTGGGTGCGAGAAGACGGTTCAGACAATGCAAGGCATTTCAGCGTGGACCTCTCAACTAAGACTTGTAACATGGCAAGGGAAGGGGAAAAAACCCTCATTTCCATGGTGGCCATTTCCAGGGAAGGGTCTCAAAGCATTAAAGAAATAAAATGAAGGATTTAGCATTGCAACTCACTCAGAGGTTATGAGCAGTTTTGATCAATAAAGGAGAAAACTATAAGGGAACAGAGGTACGCAAGTTCAAGAGCACATTTTGGGTTGTAAAGCATTAAAGTGCCTAAGACCCAGGACTGACTTTTATTCCAAGTGCTAAGCAGGCTGGAGTAGCTCCTCCTTTTCCCCTGCTGATTGACAGCATAGTAGTTGGAGCAGGAACCAGTCGCTTATGAAAGAGGAGCTCTTTCTGGTTCTCCCCATACTGCCTGTGGGGGATCTTGCACACAGCCTACAGAGCGATATAATTAACAGACTGATAGGGAGCCGAGCTCAGCTCCCCTGCCAACTGCACAAGTGCTCTAATTATGCAAAAAACGGACATAATTAATGTAGATGTCACTCATGATGGACATGAAGCAATTAGGCTCCATGAAACACTGTTCTAAGTAAGTGTGTACTGCACAGACTTGGTTAGCCATTTCCTCTTCAGAGAGGTTTAAATCGGGAGGTGTTCTTCTCAGGAGCATCTCTTATGGATTGACTCTAGGTGGTCCTTCCCCACTACCCAAGCACACGATGTTGCTCTTCCAACTCGCCTCAGTAACTTCTACAAGTGATAGGAAAAGGCATTTCTCATTACTTATGTTGAGTCACCGATTGGTGTGAGCTCCTTCACTCGAGGTTGTAAATCAGGTCTTCTGCACTACATTGCTATGTCCTGTGGTCATTTATATATCACCATCTATATATATATCACCATGTTTACCAGCAGTTGAGTGATAAGGAATTAATTGCACTATCTACTGACTATTACCTTGCGGATGGGAGCTCTGGGAGGTCAGACATGGGCATGGGAGAATTATTCCCACCAGAAATCTCCCCTTCTATTTTGTCTTCATCGCCTTATTCTTGATGAGCTTCAAGAACTCTAGCACCTTTTCAATTCTGAGCAAATTATTAGGTATAGATTCCCTGTGAGTGCCTTCAAATTAGGGTGCCCCAACAAACCAGTGGGTCTGGACACCACTCCCTTGTCTTTTCTTCTGATCCCAAATGAAAAGTGAGTTTGCAATGAGCTCTGAAAACCTGCTGATGCTGCACAGTGATATGACAATGTACTGTGCTTTGGACAAGCAGGACATATGGTTTGTAACCATATGTTTATACTCCTAAATATAAAATAAATATTTTATAAACAATATAATGTTATCAAATTTTAAGAGTAAATACTGCTAAAGAGAGTGATACATTGTATTGCATTTCTTATCACTCACGCTAGATAATTTTTGTTTTAACTCCTTGTTTGGTTTTGGACTCCTCCAACTGCTTTCTCCAAGACATGTTTCCTAACTCTCCAGGTCATTTCTACCTAGCCTCAGTGCCAGGGATTTGTCTCGGACTTCTTTTACTTAGCTGAAGAGACATACTCTATAACGGGGTCAGGGAGCCTTGTGAGGACAACAGTTGTACAACAAAGTTTAAGGGTGGATGGAGTCCTAGGGTTTGCCATTAATTCAGGAAGGATTGTAGCCTGGTTGGCACACGCTGTGGTGTTACAGGTATCACAGACAACAACTGGCCCATGATCTACCTTCCCCAAGCTCCATAGCCCAGTACCTGAGACCTTCTGGTCTGAGGTAATTTTCAAATTTCCATTTTATGGTCAAATTCTCCATAGCTTTGAATTTCAGATCAGTAATTGCCCATGATAAAAGGCAACCCTGATTTTTAAAGTCTTTTTTTTTAACAATTTATGACCCAATAATAGAATACTGGACCTTTTATTGATCTTGTTACATATTACCTTTGTGATATTATATGACGTCATACAATTTCCACAGCTCCACTGTTCATATGGATGCCATTTAGAAAGAAAATAAGCAGCACTCGCCCCGCTCCTGGCAAGACTTGGAGGTTTAAGGGATTACGCATGATCTGACAGCAATGGCACTGTCAATTCCTGCCTAAGGACACCCACATAGGATACCAGGCCAACTGGCTTGTTGGTGTCCCCTTGGTCTCCACCCAGGACATCTCCTCCTCTATAATGGGAAAGCCTTTCTCATGTTGCAGGTGCAACTGTAGGTCTGTTACTGGCACTATTCCTGGTGGCTAAACCAGAGATTAAATGACTGACCAAAGACACATGACTGGGAGTCTCTTGACGTCCAGTCACGTGCCCGCTTAGAGACACTGTAGGTGGGAACTTTGTGAAGTTGGGGGCTGGAACCGCCTTCCTTGACAAAGAAACCTGTCAATCTGTGGCTGTCCCAGCCTTCTATGCACCTGCTTCTCATGCATACTGTAGTCAGTGTTGACTTCAAGACTATTTCAGTTGCCCGTACACAATTATACGGATGCCTAGTGTCATCCGAGATTCCCAAGGGTGCCTGCAGCATCCATACAGGGCTGTGAGAAACAGAAGCAGCTCTGGGAGATCTTTGCCCTTCTGGAGTAGCACCTGGAGGCCTCTTTGCCAGTAGAGGTTCCTTTATTGGCAAATGAATTGAGCCCCTACTTTGCACAGTCAATGGAGCCTAGAGTGTGGTTCTTCTTGGTCTAAAATTAATGCGTAGCAGGTGGTGTCAGCTCTTTGAGCATCACTGCCTGTACGGCTCAGATGTTGACAGACTGCAGTGGGTGCACACATCTAGCACACAGGGAGACACCTACATCTACGCCTCTTAGTCTTAAATTCAATCCTAGCCCCTAGCAGTTGGTTATCTGAACTGTCCTTTGGGCTCCACTGAAGAGTCACCCAAATGGGTGGTGTCGAACATAATTTTTAGCACTACAGGGAGCCCTGCTGTGGCACCAGTTGTTGCTCCAGAAGGGTGCAGGTAATCCCTGCTGGAGACATGAGGAAGTCCAGGAAACTCTAGGGTATTTCAAATGGCACCAGCAACCGAGTTCATTATAGATCTCTGCTGCCTATAATGGAAGCTTGGATACCAAGTTCACAGGCAGAGACCTAAATTTAGGTGTCTTAATCAGGAACAAAATCACATTCAAAGGGTTTTCTACTGGGGACTGGTTAATGGGCTCTCCCCATCTTTTGTCATGTAGGGAAGTAGAGCAGACACGTGCGACGCTGTAATGCTGAACATCGTCATCACTTAACTATTAAAATAACTAAACACATCTCTGTTATTTTGAAAATGAGCCCAGGATGACTTTGAAATTACTTTTTGAGTGCATTTCTTTGATAAAAGAGTGTATTTGGGAACAGCACTTTTTAAAAAGAAAAGCAAACACAACCAACAGAAGAAAAAACTCCAACAAATTCAGGCAAACCAGAGTACGCTAGCTTGTATGCTCTGCTCTGAATATAAAGGGGGTGGAGGCAAACAGATTATACGTAGTTCGAAGAGGCAGTGTATCCCTGACTTTGAAATTACCATTTCTGTTTCATCTTAGAACTCATTTTAATGAACTGGCAAGGAAGAGAAACAGAAAATTTCCATCAAGGCTGCACTGGCATGTGGTATTCTCTAAAAAATGCTGCTGCTTTTAGCAACTGTAAACCAAGGTATCTATAAAACCAGTTTTATGGCAGAAAGAAGGGAATTCATAGTTATTTTATTTCAATATTTGTTACTAGATGTGAGTGACAAATATGCTGGGTTTGTTTTTCCTCACAGTCTTTTTTAATCAGATGTCCTTAGGTGACATTTCACTTTATCTAGTAACAACCCATTGGAGAAAAGAGAACGACCTTCGTCATTTGTTCGCTGCTGCACAGAGCTCAAGAGAATGGCACATTACAAAAATCTCTGAATAGCCTCTTGCATTTTGCCGGCACCTCTTGAGGATTTGAAATACCATAGCCAGATACCATCATCTGTTGTTTTTAAATACTGCCTTCCAGTGTGAGACTGAAAGCTTTAATTTCCCATCAAGGATCCAAGATGTGAAATACGTGAACATGTTTCCAAGTTTCTCTATATCCTTGTGCCATTATACACAGATAGGTGTTTCTTTTACCACCATATGGCTTACAACGTAGAAAGCCACTTCTTCCAAAAGGCTTGGAAGTTATGACTTCTCTGAAATATTCTTTATCGTTAACTCCTTCCTATTTACGCCCTCGCTCTCTGTTAACAATCCATTCTTCAGAAACCAGCCTCTTCCCCCCGTTCCACCTGGTCATCACCTGAAGATGAGTCCCCATTTGGGTGTCCCCCACCAACTCCCAGCTGGTGGAGGCGCAGGAGGAGCCCATCAACCACAGCAGCCTACCAGGCCCCTACCCATCAGCACGGCTGCACTGCACGCCGGTTGGCTGAGAGGCAACTTGCTGCTTAGCAACCTGCCAACCACGAATGCAAGTGGGACAATGGAGGCGAGCGATTGGCCAGCAAGGCCAGTGCTGTAGATGCTGATTGGTTAGCAATGAGCAAAACACAAGTGCTAACTCTTGGGATTAGAGGACAGGTCTCTCCTCCACCCCACCAGTGTACACAGCTGCAGGGAGATAACGAGGTTGAGCTCATCAAGCAGATTTCCATCTGTGGGGAAATAAGAGGATTTGCCTCCTTCTCTTGCTCGTCTATTTTCATAAAACTTCAAGAGCTTAATGTCTTTGAGACTTCAACTCCCTTCCCCGCATCAGATCCAGTGACAACTGGCCACTACTTTTGCAAAACATAACTGATGGACAGACGTGCAGACAGCATGATGGCCCAAGCCCAGGACAAAGCACCCGCAATGTGAGGATGCCCTCCCTGAATGAGGAACACTGGCAGAGCCAGTCCCTCAAACAGATCATCCTTGGGAGAAGCTCTGCCAGAAAGCACAGCTCACTCCCTGGCTGAGCATCCTTTGTCGCCAAAACGCTGTTCCATAAGGGATGCTAAAAGCTGCTCCTCCAGCACAGCCTGTAATGGGCACTGCAGAAAACAGGACCCTTCCCGGAGGCAGAGTGCTCATGGGATGGAGGGAAGGGTAGTTAATAATATGATGTAGTTAACGATATAAGCGCCGACTCCAAAACGCCTCTCCCTGCAGATAGAGTTGTTCCGGCTCCAGCAATTACCTGACAGTTCAACAAGAGAAAAGAGAAAAGGAAAAAAAGAAAAAAAAAAGAAGAGAAATTGGATTCAGGTGCAGCAGCTCCATAATATGCCAGAGGTCACCCAGAGTCCCCTGGTGGCCAATAACACTGAACTTGTTCAACAAACAATTTAGTGACAGCCTCACAGTCGCAGGCAGGAGGGGGGCAAAGTGCTGCACAACAGAGTATTGGATTTTAAATGTCACTCCGGAGCTGCAGGGGGTTAGCGCGAGGTTTATGACATGCTGGCTGTTTCTGAGCTGGTGGATGCTCGGAGTCAGAATTATCTCTCCCATCTTCCAGCCCTGCAAGGCAAGTACCAACAATGTTTTGGAAGGAGATGCTAGGGCCCTCTGGTTATGCTCTCTGAAGAGATACGAAGCGGCCATTTACGTGGAGTTAGTTGCTTTGCTGTTGTGCTCCTGTTATTCATTCCTCTCTGATAAAAGAACTGGGCCACAGCTTTGATCAGCAAAGCCAGTGGAGTAACTCAAACTTATTTTGGTCTATCACAAGGAGGTATGTCAGCCAGAGAAACCAGGGATCGGAAGATGTGGTACATCATTCAGAGAATATCACTGGATTTCAAGCAGAATGGGCATTGTCCAGTGCCTTGTCCAGGCTATTTTGAAGTGACAAAAGAACTGGAGCTTCCTCCATATGCGCTGGAAGGCCATTTCACTGTTTGATCTATCTTATTGTCTGAAAATATTTCCTGGGCTTCCATTTAACTTTAATTCTATCATTTGCTATATGAACTTTTCAAAAGTTTATATCTTCTTTGACATGCTTCATCAATAAAGACAGATACAACCAGTAGGAAGGAGGGCTGGATTGTGTCTGGGAGCGTTTATGTGTGGCTGGAAGGGTTGGGAGCGAACAGAACTACATGTGAAACATCAGTGTTGAATGCACGGATAGGCTTAGGAGAAAATGGATCATATGTTCAGGTATCATATGCGAATGAATTTATTTTATGCAAATACATGCCTACAATATGCTGGATGTGACAGAAAGGAACGGAATCGTGCTCTATAGCATTCCAGAGCCACTCTTTATCACAGCATGATCCTGCAACTGTAGACTAAAATAAAAATGCTCATGTTTTGTTGCTGTCATAACACAGGGGAAGAATATGAAACAACCTGCAATGGTTAAATTCCACTTTCAACACTAGACTGTAAAGTGACTCATCTGGAAGCACGGTGGCTGCATAAAGACCTCTTTTACCAAGCAGGTCCCTGCACAGTCCTCACTGCAGCTTCTTGCTTTAAAAACCTGAAGGGGACACGGAGATTTTACTTCTTCTTATTGCTCATTCAGGCAGATTCACCTAAAATGGGTGGATGGAAGGGAGGGCTCCTTGGTTTTATTTCCAGTTCAGCTGCCTGTATAAGCAAGTGTCAGTCTTCATCTCAAGCTGTCACTCAAGTTACTTGGCTATTCAATAAGCCTAATAATAATAATGAACTAATAACAAAATAACGATATAATAATAATAACACCACCACCAATAATAATAATTTCTGTTGCGGTTCTGTGAGAGTTATTATCTACTGCGCATAACAATTTAGAGACAATCTTTTGTGCGGTCTCTGAATGAGCCTTCCCTGTTTGCCTTCTCCTGTACAGCTTTGCCTGGGAAGACTGTGTCACACCAGAGAGGAGGAAAAATCCTGAGGCTATTTCTCATTACAGAAATCATCTCTATTAGCATCTTATTGTTTAATCCAAGGAAGAGGGAATCAAAAAAGGAGTCTTTGAGCTCCAAAACACAATCGAGTGACTGCGGCGTAATGGTTTTCAAGCATCAACTCAGCCATGGTAGCAAAAGGCATAGTTCTTTTGGTCCCCCTCTATTATAAAGTGATATGTCTTAATATAAATTGCTCGTTGAAGTTGAAGCTGGTACATTTTAGCTCGTCTTCACCATAGCTATGAGGCTGAGTACCAGGGATGGGCTGACACATGACTATTTTATTAATCCACAGTATCTTGTTCATACCTCTGAGTGATACCTTTTGTGGCTGGGGAAACGTGACACTGTATTTTACCTCCTGGTTTAATATGTGTACAGGACCTCAAGAATCTGCTGCAGGACAGTGAGATTTCAGTGAACTCATACATAAAGAGGCTAGGAGGGCAGCTGGGATCAATTCCGCTTCCTACTGTTATCATTTTATTAGCAGAAATGTTAAGAGCATATCCTGATCTTCCCAAACACATTGGTGCCTCACTGCTCTCACGATGTTCGAATACACAGCGATAGCAAGCAGGAATTCAGACTAAAGAGGATTCAGACTAAACAGATGAAAGCAACCCCAGAATAAAATCAAGCCGGGAGATGAAAGAGTATCCTGAGAGGTAAATGACTTTTTCAAGGTCATACAACCGATAAGCAGTCGGGCTGGGAGTAACCCGGGGCTCTCAGATCCTGACCCAGTGTGCTAACCTCTAACAGCGCTGCCTCCATCTTTCAGCTGAATAATTCCCAGCAGGAAGAAAGGGGGAAACAATTAGGCTGTAAAAGCTTTTTTCTTGCCGATTTCACCATTGAATTTTGTGCCAGCATCTACCAAAATGGCTTGTGATGCAAGCCTGTTTTTAAAAGCAGGACATGGTGACGTGGGATTAAACGCAGTCAGGTAAAATGAAAGTTAACTATCAGCTAAAACTTCTTTCTGGTGAGACCCACTGCAGTGCAGAACAGCCTCCTAGGGAAGTACTGGGACTTGTTGTTTAAGACATTTTAAAACAGACTGAATAAGTTTCTAGAAAAAAAATTTTGTAGAAAATGATTCTGTATCAAGATTTGCTTTTTTTCACTTCCAAGAATCCAATGCAAAGGCCTTGAACTTAGCCTGCAACACGTTGTAACATGGACTACTCTTGCGGGAGAAAGAAACAGTAACACACCATTTCATTGAGCAACCACCAGAAAACACCACCGGAAAAAGCACCAGCGTATCTGGGAGAACAGGATGATAGAGGGTTTTTAAATAAAGATTGCAAGCGGATAGTATGCCGATAAGGGTGTGAGATACAGTATGGAGTTGCATGGATCACCTTGCTATTGTCCCATTCTTGGGTTTTCATCTGTGTGTGGATCAGCTCATAGGACGGCTCCATTGCATCCATGTCTGGCTTGGGGTAGCCGGGGATGACGTTGTGTAGCTGGAACCCAAAAGTGAGCAGCCAACTGTTGACATCTGGAATGGAAGAGAAGCATAAATCAGATTATCTGATCTCTCAAGCAGGGTTGCTCAGGAGAACGGCACGGAGAGGACCCTATGGTGCCTGGCACTGTAGCAGTCTGGCCAAAATGATGAGCGTCTACTTCATGTGAAGAGCACAAATCTTAATGGTCCTTGAAAGAACCGTGTGCCAAAGCTGGGCTTTCCACCTCCAACCGCAGTCCAATTCTGCACCTTCCCGGCTCTGAAACAGAAGCTTTGGCAGTGACCAAATGGCTCAAATCAAAGCCAACTCAGTGTCTGCCCTTTATCAGCAGGCATCAGGTACCGCGCTAAGGTGATGCAGGAGAAGCACAGGAACAACAATACACTAATGGAGGCTGAGATGCTCCAGCTGAACAGGAGGTGTCATCCAGTCCTACAGTCAGCTCTGAACATCTCAGCCACAGTAGTTCTCTTCCTGAGGACTCTGAAAGGGCCTGCAGGCTGAAGATTAAATTTAGAGCTATGTGAGCCAGAATACCAGGATATCCAGGATGAACAGTACGGTCATTTGGCAGATGCTCATGGAAGAGGCTCTGGACATATCCTCTGTTTTTTCTATGGCATTTCCACCTCAGTCCTGGGTTTCTTGGCATTTTTCATAAGAAGGTGTAAGTGTAAAGTCACATGTCATCTTTTATAGTGACATTTAAAATCAGCCTCCATGCTACCTGCAAGGTACAATATAAGCGTACAGATACAAGACTGCTTGGGTATCTTTCACAAACCCCGTAGAAGTCCACGGATGGTGAGAAAACTGCTGGCTACAAGCAATAAACTATTGTCCTATGCAAAAGGGGGACCACTGGCACTAAAGGGGTGTCGTGGTTTAACCTGGCAGGCAGCCAAATATCACGCAGCCGCTCCTCGCCCCCCCCGCCAGTGGGGCGGGGAGAGAATCAGAAGGGTGAGAGTGAGAAAAACTCGTGGGCTGAGATAAAGACAGTTTAATAGAACAGAAAAGGGAAAAGAATAATAATAGAATATACAAAATGAGTGATGCACAATGCAATTGCTCACCACCTGCCCTGACCGATAACCAAGTAGCGATCGGTACTTCCTGGATCACGCCTACCATTCATATACTGAGCATGACGTCACATGGTATGGAATACCCTATTGGCCAGCTGGGCTGGCTGTCCTGATTATGTTCCCTCCCATCTTGTGTACCTAGCTCAGTCAGTAGGCATGGGAGCTGAACGTCCTTGACTAGCAGGGTACTTAGCAACAACTGAAAACATCAGTGTGTTATCAACATTCTCCTCGTACTAAATCCAAAACACAGCACTAGGAAGAAATTTAACCCTATCCCAGCCGAAACCAGGACAAGGGGACATGATGGAAAACCCAGCCATCTGGGACATCATTCCTGCATTCACTTGACCGTACAGACTGCAAAGTCTTCCCTGACTTTGATTGCACAGCTATTAGGAATAGCAGCTGAATGTTAATCCGCTGGAGGAAATAATGATGAGGCTGGCTAACTCCTAGATCTGCCTGGGATCAGCATCGCTTCCCTTCTTAACTTCAGAGCATTTGATGATCTCACCTTGTTTGCCTTCACTGAACCCTAGAGAAGGACACACCTGCTACAACCCTCAAGCAACACGGTGTGCATTTGGCACATAAATAGCAAGTGCAAGAAAAAGAAAGGTATGAAGGTAAAGTTTAACTAATATCAGCTCCCAGGGGTCTTAAGTGTTTTCCGTGTAACCGGGATTGTGTTGGTGATTGCTCTGCTTCAAGCTGGACGTGCAAGGGGCTTGATTTTCATTTTGCTAAATTCAATAAATGCTGTTGAAGCAATCTGAAAAAGGGATCAATTTAAATAATCAAATATGCAGCTTTGAATATTTTTTCTCTATTCCCCATGAGCCTAAATGAGTGTTCTGAAGAGCTGGTCGGAAAAAAAATTATAGATGCAAGAGGCAAATAAGGCACTTCCAGATGACTGGAGAACCAGGAGCCAAACAAACGCACTATCTGTTGCTTGTTTTCTTACAGGCCAAAATGTTGAGATTGGGCAGATGTCCAAAAAGCCCTTGCGACAATCCATGTGGAAGGGGGAGGATTTCTGTAATAAAAACACTTCTGTTCACTCAATGTACAGATTGTTTTTGGAGTGTCTTTGAAACAGAGAGGTTGGGGGGAGGGAAAGAAATTAAAAGGGTCATTTGATTATTTTTTTGCTTAGCGCTACGCCAGCCTGCTTCCAAATCCTTCTCATGTGAAATGAAGACCTTTGATGTACATACTGTGGACCAGGTGGTCAGGAGAACAAAGTAAAACAGTGAAGGTCGGCATTGGTGCAGGAACCATTTTCCAAGCACTTCACAAATGTTAAAAAGGATACAGAGCAGGGATGCTGAACAGCCGAAAAATATGTGACATGTCTGGAAAGATTCTAGACAGGCTTTTTTTGCTACTGTTCAGAAAACTGACTTTCAAAACATTTGCAAACAGGAGTTTGTTCTTTTTGGGGAGAGGTGTTGGAATACCCAGAACAAAAAAAAAAACAAGCCCCAAAACATGGGAGGAAGGTGTGGAGCTGAGAAAACAGAGGGGAAAATATTAATTTGCCAAGAGGCAGTGACAACTTTTTTGACAGAAAAGTACATTTCACATCACAGAGGTTTTTTTCAGCTACAGTAACCCTGCCAACACATTTCACAGTAAATTCATTTGAGGGCAAAGAAAAAGAGTGCTTAATGCAGACACATGTAATGGAAATGTCAGTTCAATCCATCAGGATTGCTGAAGCTGGCAGCAAAGCTCTGTGCCATGGAGTGTACAATCGCTAAAATATTCATGTTTAACAATGGGCCTCTCAAAACTTAAATACCTGCTTCTCCTGCTCTCCCCTCTGCGTGCCTCCAGTTTGTACCCAGGAGCTCAGAAACCTCGTCGTTGGAGACCAAAGCGTGTGTCGTTCGTGGGTGCTGAGCTCCCCTAAGGACAGCGGGTCCCAGGGTGGGGATGGAGGGACAGAGAGTGGTTCCCTGTGCCCAAATCTGGGCAGATTTGGTTGTGATGACAAGGACGCTCTCATCGCAGGTCATGCCCACGAGGTGCCGGAAAGCTTCAGCAGAAAGACATGCCAGAGCAGCAGCCTAGCATCACGGCACTCATCCTGTTACATGACCTGTTTCTTCCATGCACTGGGAGAGGAGAAACTTAAAAAATGTATTTGGGGTCTGTATTCTTGAAAGACTGAAAATAGAACTTTTAAGATCATCAAAAAAGTTATTCGGTGTGTATAAAATATTAAAATATCAGATTTGGACATCTTGATGTTATCATCAGAGCTGGGTGGGAAGTTGTTCGCCTGTTCCAAGAAAGGACTGGAAATTTTGTCCTGTCTTAACTTGAGCAGGAAAATAAAAATCTGTTAATATATCACGAAGCAACTGTTCAAAAACTAGATCAGTTCAAGAATACAATTTCAAATGAAGATCTTTCATTTTGGTTTTGACTCCTTAATTTTTCTTTTCCAGTTTTCAGTCATGAGTTTACACTTGAAAAGGTTGTAAACCAAAAAGGAATTTTTCTTTTAGGCAATTTTGGAATTTGTCATTTAGACAATTTTGAGAGCTGTTTACAACATTTCTGCTGAGAAATCTCTCAAGCTCAACCCTCTCCCATAAACAAATTCAGTTTTGACAAACGAGCATTTTCTGATAGGAAAAGTTATCTCAAAGTATTCCCTGCCAGCCTTAATTATCAGAGTGAGGCCAACACACAGGATCTTAGTCTGCATCTTTTGGCATATTTTACTTCCCTCATGGCATCGTCTTCTCAGCTCTGGAGAAAACAACTTTTCACTAAAAAAAATACAATCTAATCCTTATGATTATTGCAGAAGAACCTGAAAGCACGAATCCTAATGGCCAGAAAAACAAGTGGAATAGAACAACCCAGGATTTTAATTTTGTACCATTTTTTGCTATTAAGCCAATCTTAGGGGAATGCAAATATTGTTGCACAAGGGAAAGTTGTGATAGACGCAGCAGGAGCATTTAAAAATTAGTTATATCTCCTTAAGAAGCACGTACATGTGATTTGTGATTGTGTCACCTGGTTTTCCAATGGGAACTATATAGAAAAGAGTCCCACCAAAACAGTCTTCTCGAACATTACTACCAGTGTTGCACAAAGTATGAATATAGGAAGGACATTTAACCTACAGAATGATTTTCTGTATAAAAAACATACCTAGAGCTCGTGTTATGGCCATTTTACAAAGTCCCAGGGGAAGCAGTTGAGAGGTTATGTCAAGCTGTGGGATAGGTATGCCCTAAAATCTGGCCTTTAAGTCTAACGCATCTGCTTTTATTGACTTTTAGCAGAAACTGTTAATTCTGTGGGGCAGATTAATTTTGAACTACATGGTTCCCGTAGCGTGCTCTGAAATGTCTGACTGTAACAAAAGATTTAAGTCGCTGTTGCCATTCTGCTAAAACAAATCTGCATGTCATTTGTTTAGTTGCAAATAAATCTCTAGGCAAAACTGTGTAAACAGAGCTGCCCCGCTACAAAGAGGAAGATTATCAGGACATTAATCGGTGGCTAAACTCGGGATATTTGAGGGAACGAAAAACTGGAAGCAAAATAAAGAGAACAAGCATCAAGGAAGAGGAAAGGAAACAGGTTTGGGAATTACAATCTCCATCTATGCTAATGAATTAGACATGCCCTGGACGAAAGCATCAAGGAAGAGGAAAGAAAACAGGTTTGGGAATTACAATCTCCATGTATGCTAATGAATTAGACATGCCCTGGACGTAGGCGTCAACTGGCAAAGAAAAGCTTGTGTCCATTACATTAAACACTGGAAAACCTCATGGTGACAAGGATACTGAGAGAGAAGAAACCTATTCACTGATGGCAAGCTTGTGAATATGTTAATTAATTTAAATGTCTTACCTGTCATGTAACATTTGATATCCTGAGAGTTACTAATGGGATTGTTGTTTTTGAACATATACAGGTTGAAAGGCATTATGTTATTGCTACTCAGATGCTTCCACATATCATGGTCTGGACTCGTCCACCGACCCGCTAGCACATCATAGTCTCTCCGTCCCATGTGGATAAGCTTTGTGAGGGGGTCATACAGTCCTCCGTGGTAGCCGATGATGATCTGGAAGTTGGGATTGGTGTCCATATAGATCTCCCCATATGCTGTGTACAGTATCTGCTTAATCATTAAGCCAGTCCCACTGAAGACAGCCAAAGGGGTGCCAATGTTATCGCAGGCTATGTAGAACTCATCACCGCTGCTGAGCTCCATTGCAAAGAGGTGACCTTGGAGGTCATAGTAGAGGGAGGTGATCTCGGAGCTTGAGTGGTTATATAGATGGGTGACCTTGGTTGGGTTGGTCAGGTCTGCGTAGAAGAACTGCAAGTGATGGCCGTGGCTGGTTTTGCTAGAGACTCTCCTTCCTAGGCCATCATAGCGGTATTTCACACTCCACCCACTAGCTTTATTGTAAGCTTTGATGAGCAGGCCAGCTGAATTGTACTCAAAAATATCATTGCCTCTTTGCTTCAGGAAGCCATCTTCATCCATTTTGTACTGCACATCCCCCAGTCTAGTGATCCTATCCCTAAGGTCGTACCTGAGCGGTGTAAGGCGGGCACTATTCCCCGGACTCAACAAATGGAGGTTTCCGTTTAGGTCATAGCTGTATCGCCAGAGTGGTTTGTCATTGATAGACACTGTCTGCAACTGGCCATCAGCATCATACTCATATGAGTACCTAGTTGTGTTTGCATAAGGGCCAACCTTCAGCTCTTTCTTAACCACTCTCCCCATGTTGTCATACTGCACAGTCATCCAGTACATCAGCGACCGGAATATCTCGTACTGGACCTCTTTCATCCTGCCATAGGCATCAAAATGCTTAGTGTGAGTCATGACAGCAGTGGTGATAATCTGGTTGATATCGTAGTAAATGACTCCGAATTTACCAAACTGCTCAGTTTTGCCTGACACATCATCGTACCTGTAGAGATCAATGGGTAAAGGTGTCTCGTTGATGACTGCTTGCATGCTGGTCACCCGAAAGCTGTTGTCGTAATTATAGTCAAAGCGTGCATTCACCATGCCTTCCTCAGTGAAGCGGAAAATCTGTCGATCAATGAGGGGTCCTATCTGTCTGTATCTGATTGTACATGTGAACCCTTCATTCTGCAAGTTTATGGTCTTCAGCATGCCAGCGGTTTCGTCATAAGTGAAACTGATCTTTGTGGTGTCGTAGAGCATCTCGGCTAACTTGGACAACTTTCCGTACTTGTAGATGACACGTCTCCCTGTGCCCAAGTACAAAGTGTGGAGAAGCTGCTCATCCTCTGTGAAATCCTGAATCACCGAGGCGTTGCCTTCTGGTGGCCGGTAGATATTCCTGTAGTAACCAATGGAGCGAATGGTTTCTAAAGTCTGACGGGCAACATTGGGCATGGTCACCGATGACAACCGGTCGTTCTTATCAAACTCAAAGATGTACTGTCTCTGGCTGTGAAGGAGCAGCACCATGGACTAGATGGGAAGGAGAAAAGTATAGATTATATTCCTGGTTTTCAGGCAAAATTATACTTATCTCTCAGAAAACCTGCAAGATTCTCCAATCCAAAGAGCAGGGCAAGTGAGATAAATCTCTGCGCCCATAGGATTAAACGGCGAGAGGTATGCAGCTGCACAGCACACCAAGTGTCCCTAAGTAGGAGCGGGTCAGAGGAAGAAGCAGTTAATGCAGTGAGGAAGGTCTAAGTTCAGAATGCTCAGTTGTTTGAATCAATACCCCGTAGCTAGCTGCCTCTACCCAAATTCCCTGTGCCAATAGCTTTTACTGACTAAAGAAATAAAATTGGTAGAGCGACTTAAACAATGCTTGAAAAAGTACCCCTTGACACCTTCCAATGCCCAATTAATTCATTGTGTCTCCGTATCCTCCATTACTCCCTTTCTGCAAACTTCTGCCTGCGTGCTTATTTGTTCTGGGATTTTTTTTCGCACGTAACAATCGACACAGATTGTATAATACAAGGGGCAAGTCAATACTTTTTGCTTTTTAAAAGCTATGTTACTGTAGTTTCCTTAAACCGTTGTAGGAATACCCTCTGTGCAAAACTCAGGAATAAAAAATTCCATCCCCAGGTATGCAGCATATGGATCTATAGGACACTGGGCAGTGTAATGATGAATGGTAATACCTGGAAGAATTTAAGTCCCAATTAAGTGCCAATCTACAGAGTGCAGACTACAGAAAACACTGCAAAGCGTGCTACAGCAGTCTGGCTGCATTCATGCCTCGCACTTTTTAATTACATGTATTTCCTACAAAGCAGGAAAGGGCCACTCGAAGAAGGCAGGATGTCAAACCGTGTAGGTTGTTTTCACATGGAAAATCCTACTGGAAATTCCTACTGTTTATTCCTCTGACTTTAACTGAAGGTATTTTATATTGCAGCTAGCTCAGCAAAGGAATGTTGTGCTTAAAAAATCAAATGCCAAAGCTTCACAGCATTAAGATATGCTCTCAGTGTGACTGGGAAGAAACTTCCCAGGCTATTTTCAACTACTCTTTGGTGGTTTGGCGTGAAAGTTACTATGTGCACCTTAGTGTAGGCAGAAGAGGAGTATTGGACCGTAAGGACCATTCATCAGCTGATGTGAAGGAGCGCAGCTGTACTGAAGTCAAAGGAGTAAAGCCCATTTGCACCAAACGCATCATCTCGAGCCCTAAGAGGATTCTTACCTTCTCCAAGTAAGTGTAGCTCCATGATTTGCCATCAGCAAAGATCCTGGATGTAATTCTGCCAGACTGATCATACTCCATTCTTTCTGACATCGTGCCCCTCTGAATCCCTGCAATGTGTCCTCCTGGGGAATAGGTGACATTGACCCCGTTCAGTCTGCTGCTGGGTGACCAGAGACTGGGTCTCCCTGCCTGGTCGTAGAGGATGCGGAGCGTGAACTTGCGGTGGTCATCATAGATTTTCTCTGTCCTTGTCACACGATCGAAGTCGAGGGACAGCAGGTTTCTGTTGTGAACCTACAGGAAAGAGATGGAGGATTAGGAAGCTGGAAACAGTTTGACTTACAAAGCCTAGCCTTGTTTCACCAAACACCTCTTTAGACCACATTGGAGGGTATCCAGCTGTTCACTGCCTCTGGATAAGAGGCAATTTTTAAAGCAAAGAGTTGTCTTAATGTTGCTTCTGTTGACTTCAGTAATGAGAGGGGCAGAAAAACAGGGTACTTTTGAAACATCATCATGGTGAAGGAATATTGCCCATATCCGAAACTTAGGCTCAGGACTGCTACAGCTGATGTGACTATAGACCTACAGAAGATTGAATGACAACTTCTTGCGGTGAATATTTGCAAGGTACTCTGCTTATCAAACCTGGGATATATAGTCTTTTGCTTTCATGCACACGAAAAAATAGTAATACTTGTAGAAAAAAGATGGATGTTGTGTCAACATAGTGGAAAGCAGAGCTTTTCTCTGAGTTTACTGAATACACTGCATGCACTGGATGTTAAGCCTTTCCCCTGAGATGAAATATGGAGGCCTTGACCACTGTAGATGTTACACAGAGCAGGAACTTTTCTGTGAGAGCTGGAGTTTTAGCTTCATTGTCCTGGGGATATTCGGTGTTGCATAGTTACACTCCTGTTACCTCCACTGCCTCTGCATTTCCAAAGATCAAAGGTATTACTTCAAAGGTAGGAGCAGGAATACATTTTGATTCAGGGATTGTAGTGCACAGCAATACAAAAGAGAGTTGGTAATATAACTCATGTTTAGCTGCATGTGCAAGGAGACTTACAAAGCCACATCATCACAGTAGCAAAGTACTGAGCAAGGATGAAGAACTCATATTCCCAGTATGAGCTTGCCAGTGAAGACAGCTCTTTCTCCATCCCACCACTTTCAAACCTCTTTCAGCTGGTGAACCCTGCTTTTCTAGAAGGGTGCAGATTCTTCTCGGATGAATTTCAAACTCCAAACAGCTGGCTTGGTTTTCAGTTCCCTTTGCAACCCTTCAGCTGTAGTCAATAAACCAGGATTTGCAGGTTGCTGCAAGGTCTTCAGACTGCAAGTTAAACATACTGCCTTATCCTGCTCTAGGTAAAGCCAACGCTCTTGACCTGAGCACTGTTCTCATCCCAGCTTTGATCTTGGCGACTGAATTCCCACTATATTTTGAGGGATGTGGGAGTATCTGAGAGCTAAACAGCAAGAGAAAGGAGAGAAGGGATGTGGTAGAGCCAATGGAGAAGGGGTTCCTTAGCCCGGGAGGAATGGGAGAGGGAAAGGCAGGACCGCTGCGGTGCTTTCGTGCTGCGTGGGCAGACGTCTGGGCTGAAACTTGGAGAATGGGGACACTGCAAAATCAGAAGTCAAAAGAAGGCATCTCAAAAGCTGGGGTTGGAAAAGGCAAAAGCATGGCTGAGAAAATGTGGAAGTGAGCTGAGGGTGCGTGTGGCCAGCCAAGAGAGGAGGAATTGGTGCCATGACGTAAGGGTGAAGATAATGTAAGAGGAGGCAAGCGCAAAAATGATTTCAACGTATGAAGAACAATGGTAAAAGGCGGGTATGACTTGAGGAAATAAACAGCGTGGAAAGGTAGATAATGCTCCAATTAAATGTGTGTAAAGTAGAATGTAAATGGGCAATGGGGGAAAGAAGGAATCAGTCAACAGCCCACTGTAACAGGCAAGCTGGGAAATAATTAAAAAGGTATCAAAACTCTAAGTACAGATGCACACATGTAACTAACAGAGCAATTTGATATCTCATAGGTGCTTGCTGCTATAAATAGAGAAACAGAAGTGGCAATTGCTTGCAAAAAAAAAAAAAAAAAGCAAATCAGGAAGAAATAGCATCTCTGCCTTCCATCTATTCACGGAGCAGCTCCAGCCCGGCAGCTGCAGCTTCTTCTGCTACTGGTCTCTGCCAAGAGAGCTGGAAAGAGCTGGAAAGAGCTCTTCCAGGGCTGGGACAGTAATCCAGGCTGCAAGTGGCCTCCCTGATCAGTACGCCAGCAGCAGTGCCATTCACTGTGCTGGAAGGACCAAATAACAGGTCCCAGGATAGCTCTTAAGCTCAGTCCAAATCTCTGCATCCCACTACCGGTGCCCTAAGTCATTCCACCCTCCCCATGCTCTGGCAAGCAAATTCTGCAGGACTAGTTGGAACGAGTCTCCTTTTTCATGATTTTTTTTTTTTTTTCTTTTATGATTTGTTTTCTCCTGCTCTCTCGGTGTAATCTCTCTTCTCTCCGAGAAGTGCTGCAGTGCCAACAGCCACCCTTCAAGGGCAGAGTGAACCCTACCCTGCCAGATAGCCTCTGAACAGGGGCTAAATCTTTTTCATCCTTGTTCAAGGGCATGCCTTGAATAGAAGTGAATTTTCTGCAGAAGCACTGACAGGGCTGCAGGCTTCAGTCCAATAACCGTGTTCTACGGTGAGCAGCTAAATAAAGTGCCATCCTACATCCAGGAGTCCTTATTCTGGAACAGGGTCTGAAAAGCTCCTGCAAAAAGCTTTTTCCCCTCAGAGAGTTTGACAAGGCTTGTGATCAGCACAGGACTGAGACAGGGTAAATTTAAATCCACAGTTCACTGTGTATTTGACCTCTCCTCTACAATGTGTGAGAGATTAAATTCAACCCCAAACCCATGTTCTATAGTACTTTATTCAATCCCTTAGCTTGCTCTGGAAAAGCAAGAGCATAAACACACCACCATCTCTGATTTCTCCAAAGCTTCCTATGGAGCTCCTTTAGCTTAAATTATAATTAAAAAACATGGATTGATCTCCCTGGGAGCACAAGAGCACAAAAAGGGAAGATTTCTCACAAAAACACTCTGGCAACCTTCAGCAGAGGAGGGCAAACAATACTTCTGCAATAAGAACTCCAGGAGTCAACAACATCCACGTGATAAATGGCCGCCTACAAAGCAATTTCCCTGGCGAATTGCTAAAACCGTTGGGATGGCCATATCCAGACCTTGACACCTTGCAGAAATTGTGGAGATGATGCTGGACTGTCCTCGTTAGTCAACACACCAGGAATGGTTAGCAGCATATCCCAAGAGACCTCCTCTGGTCACGCTGGTTCTGGGGAGTGTCTGGGACACTAGGTCTTGATGCCACCATTAACCTGCTGCCAAGGTCTTGGGAAAACCAAAGTGAATTACAACAGGAGTTTCCATGGTTAAATAAATAAAAGAGCTGAGCCAGCAGCTCTGTCTCTTTTGGCTGTCCTATTTGCTCCACTGTCAGAGATTATTTTACATCTTTCTTTATTGAAAAACTCAAGTTTGTTTAAGAAAAAAAAAGGAAGCAGCTCTGTTCCTTGGAGCAGAGTTTACCTAACGCTCTCACTGCAGATGGAGTCTGTGTTGCTGTTGGCCAGTGATGGGTTGAATTCGTTGCCAGCCAATTTGCGGAGATATCTCGCTACTGGGTGGGTGGATCAGAGCATCACAACTTTCCATGGGGAGTGTGGGATGGGAGAAGGGAAAGGGGCTGCTTTAACATATTTGTGCTGCTTTACTGCTGCCTGGCCAAGCGCAGAGCCAGGTCAGCATTCATGGGACTGGGAAAAAGGCATCAGGGCTGGCCCCTTTCCCTTCATCCATGCAGAAGTCCCTGCCCCGTGCCTTATCCCTGCAATAAAGAAACACGTGCATTGTGTTATTTCTTAGGGGGGGTCAAGGAGGCAGCTGTGAAACTGGCCTCATCATGCTGGGAGCTGATCGAGCTCATGGCAACAGGTCATCAGTCCCCAAGAACACCCTGCAACTGCGGGAGGAAGGGCCACAACTCATAAAACGTGGATCCATGCGATGGCAGCAGAAAGGATGCTGGTTTCAGGGGAACTCCCTCTTTTACAGTGGTCAGATCCTGTTCTCCTCATCTCCAAGGCTTCGGGATGCTGCACCCTCTTTGGGCATGCTCTTTCCCCATGGAGCACCATGTCCTTGCTGCTGTCTCATGTGAGCAGTGGGGTGAGGGGAGAGGGAAAGGGGTGATTTACTCACATATGGCAGAAAATGATAACGCTTCCCAAAATGAACAAAAACATGTTGAACTTAACTTCCCTAAGCTTCTCCCGTGCCAGGGAAAGCAGCAATTACTGGTGCAAGGAAAAGAACATGACACACAGAATATGCTAAATGCCGGGCAATCTCCAGGGAGGCAATTAGCACCTTGCAGGTTTATGTCTTAGGGGTGCAGATGCTGCCATGCAGGTACAAACAGGCAGCTTACAACTTCTTGCACACCCTCAGCTACTTTGAACCCTGAACACAGCCATAACTGTGTCCTTCAACCGTGTAAGATGCTCTTCTGCTTCACTAGAAGGGCCCCGATAGGCTCAAAATGTGAATAAATGCTGGCAGATTTATGGGGACACAAGTAACCAGCCTGAAAACTCATTTTGCAAATGTTTTTCCAACTGCAGTACAATATAAAAGACACATTCTGTGTTTGAATCTACTGTGAAAATTTTGGAAGATAAAACTGACATGGGCAGCTGAGCTGCAGCTAAATGAGTGGAAACTGCTCTGAACACCAAATAGCTGTGACATAGCTGCAGATTTCAGAAGGCTCTCTCCTTTCAGAAAAAGACCTGTCTGATAATTTCATTGGTTATTAAAATAAAATAAAATAAAAACCCCAAAACAAACCAAACAAGAAGGGTGATGCCAACTGATCTGCAGCTATACAGCAGTTCCCACTGAAGGAGCAGCTTCAGCTTTCACTACTGTGTGCAGTTTTCCTG